CCTCAGCGGCCATCATTCACCTCCCTCGTCTCCACCCTCTCCTCCCTTTCACCATTTACCGTTTTTCACTCTCTTCTCCTGTTTTCTTTGACTCCATCTTTACTGAGCGGCCGTGTAACCTCCACCTCTCTTTGTCTCTCTCTCCATCTACCTCTCTAAATCTATCTCTGCCTCTGTCATAGCCCCCTCATTATGCCTTCTCCACCCATCTCTCTCTCTTTCTCCCTCTCTCCAGAGAAGCCATTAGGTGCTGCTGTAAGGCTATCACTCTTCTGCGCTCTCCCTCTCTTTTCACTCTTTTTCACTCTGCTTTAGTCTCAGGGCAATGGGTTCCCCTTCCCTTCTTCCCTCTGTCATTCTTCCTCAGTTTCTCCTTCTCTCTCCCTTCCTGTGTTTCTTCAGGCGCTCTTTTCTCTCCTCCTCTCGACTTCACATCCTTCCTTCTGCTTCAATCCACTTCACCTTCCCTCCATCTTGATTCCTCCACCCCTTTAACTGCCCCCACCTTCTATCCTACCATATTCCAGTGAGATCGTCTTCTGTAGCTGTGGGCTTATAGGCAATCTATACTGTGCTGTCTGTGGCTGCTACGCTTACACCTACAGTTATGTACGTGCACTAAATCTCTCCATCGGTTCAATTCTTAGCATATATTTCTATAGTAGGAATCAGCTGCAACACCAAAGAAGCGATGAATCAGGCCAACAACTAAATATTACTTTCTCTAATAACGGAGATCTTATAATGATGTCTTCAAATCCACCGTTGCAGCCAACCAAGAGTCCAAACCAACCCATATATGTACCCTGTTTATATGACTGTGTCATATTTTACTGTATCTGAACAGCTGGGGAGGAGTAATATGCAAAGTAAGAAGGAAAACTATAACGTTTGATTGTGAAGGAGAAGATTACAAGCTCATAAACATGAATGTAAATTCAGAGGTCTGTAGCTGCTGTTCCATCTCCCTGTTTAAGCTCAGTGTAAAAATGCAAACTGAGATACTGGATTATGGGACTACTGTGACAGCAAACTGAAAGGATGTTAGCCAACCATGCGGTGAAATAAACAGTTTAAACGAGAGTCTGTTTACGTGATTTATTGGTGTGAAAGGCACGCTTTTTAAATATATTTCGAGAAATGGCTTCGGTGATGTGCCATGTGGAGCTGTGGTTAATGCCTCGTTAAAGCATGCTAGTCTAGTGGAAGCTGTGAGGAATTTGAGAATAATTACAGCCATAGACTCTATAAAAGATGGACGAAGCTTCCATTTTCCCTTTTAAAAGTGAAAATACACAGAATGTGAAAAACTGTGTGAAAAACACAGAAGTGCCGCAAACCTGCATGCTTTTTAATGGCCACCAGGGGGCGAACCCAGTCGCTGTGGAAAGATTGCAGCCCTGTTTAAATCTATGATAAAAGAGGCCTCGGCCCTGACCTCAGTAAACACTTTTCAGATGAATTCACTCAGTTTGGGTCACATTAAGTACAACTTCGAGTCAATGATATAAATTTCACTGGCTAATGACTTGTTCGCTCAGCACAAGGGTTCACGGGGAAGGAAATATATTAGCATATACCAATGATGCGACCCATTGGTTTGTCAAGTCCCACTATGCCTCGATCTGCAGTTTTGGCATTTGAAAAGTGTGACGAGTGAGGGGTGGATCCAATTGTGAAACAGCACTTTCATTAGCTAATGCCTTAGAACAAGCCGATTCAAATGGCGGCCCGCGGGCCACATGCGGCCCAGAAGCAACCTGCGAGTGGCCGCATGTGGTCCTGGCAGAAACACAGAGAAAAGGCAAAAAATTAATTAATTTAAAAAAAATAAAAAAATAAAAAATTCCTACA